AAAAAAAAAAAAAAAAAAATTAGGCTGTACATGACAAAGGGAATCTAGACCTTTGAAATCCAAGCCTAATGAAAAGGTCTGAACTGTTATGAAAGGAGGAAGACACAGAGAAGGCACCCAACAAAAAAGAAAATTATTTTTAGGGAGGCTATGATTAGTCTTTGGCTAGTTAATGCTGCCCAACTTTGATTACCTTCAAAAGAAGATAGCAGTTTCTCCACAGTTTCATGAAGAGGTCCTTTAATTTTGACAAAAATCTAAACTGCATGAGCTAGAAGTTAATATCTAGAAGGTCTGACAATTAACCATGCCCTTACGTTGGCAACACTTGACAAACAGCTCGGTAAGGTTCCATAAACTTGGTGTACCAGTGTCTCAGAGCTGTGTTTGTGCCTATTTGTGGCACTGTCTTGCTGAGTAGCACTCATTATTACTGTTGTATGTTTTTGTGTGTAATGGTGAGAATGTCAGAGCTTGAATTAGAGCAATAAGCAAACATTAAATTTCTTATTAAACTTGACAAGAGTGGAAGTGAAACCAAAGACATTTTAGTCTAAGTTTATAGGGATAGTGCCATGAAGAAAATGGCAGTATATAAATGGATTAAACGTTTTTCTGAGGGGACAGAAAGCATCACTGATGACGAGAAGTCAGGGTGGCCAGTTAACAAGCAGAATGGACAAAAGCATGGCAAAAATTGTGTGTCAAAATTGTTGGGTGACTGTGTGAAGCATAGCAGACCAAGTGAACACTGATAGAGAAACAAGAAAATCTTAAGTAAAGAAGTTTTGGGGTGAGAGAGGTGTGAGCAAAAATGGTCCTGAAGGAGCTCACTAATGATCAAAAGCAAAGGCGAGTTGAAGTTTGCCAAATCCTTTTGGAAAGGCAAGTCGATGTTTTGGGCCACGTTATCACTGGCGATGAAACATGGGTGTACCAAAAGGACCCCAAAACAAAGCATTAAAGTGCACAGTGGAAGTCAGCTAATTCTCCACAACCAAAAATGTTCTATTAGCACACATCAGGAGTCAAAATGAGGTTGCTAACCTTTTTTGATATCAAAGGGACTGTTCATTATGAATTTGTACCAACTGGACAGTTAATGAAGATTATTATTCAGTTAACCAAGGTTATTATTTGGAAGTGCTGAAAAGGCTGTGTGAAAAAGTTAGATATGAAAACGGGGCTGGGTTCAGTGGTTAAAGCCTATAATCCTAGCACTCTGGGAGGCTGAGGCAGGTGGATTGCCTGAGCTCAGGAGTTGTAGATCTTCTCAGGCTGGTCTCTAAAAAAATAGCTGGGTATTGTGGCAGGTGCCTATAGTCTCAGCTACTTGGGAGGCTGAGGCAAGAAGATCATTTGAGCCCAAGAGTTTGAGGTTACACTCTTGGTAAACAAAGTGAGACTCTGTCTCAATTAAAACAAAAAAAAAAAAAAAAGAAAAGAAAATGATCTGAACTTTTCTCCAACAACTCACAGTTCTTGCATCACAGCAATGTACCAGCTCACACAGCACTGTCTGTGAGGGAGTGTTTACCCAGTAAACAAGTAACTGTATTGGAATACCTCTTTACTCAGGTGATCTGGCCCCCAATGATTTTTTTTTTTTACCCAAAGATAAAGGAAGAGTGTTTGGGTTTTTTTGAGGACAGAATCTCACTATGTTGCCCTGGGTAGAGTGCCATGGTGTCATAGCTCACAGTAACCTCAAACTCCTGGGTTTAAACAATTCTCCTGCCTCAGTCTCCTAAACAGCTGGACCACAGGCACTTGCCACAATGCCCAGCTACTTTTCGGTTGTAGTTGTCACTGTTGTTTGGCAGGTCCGTGCTGGATTCGAACCCACTAGCTCTGGTATATGTGACTAGCACCCTAGCTGCTTGAGCTACAGGCGCCGAGCCAAGGAAGACATTTTGATTACATTCAGGACATCAAGGGTAATACCATAACAGCACTGATGGCCATTCCAGAAAAAGAGTTCTAAAATTGCTTTGAAGGGTGGACTAGACACTGGCATCAGGGCATAGCTTCCCAAGGGGAGTACTTCAAAGGTGGCTATGGTAATATTGAGGCATATAGTACTTTTTCTAGGACAAGTTTGTAAATGTCATGACGAGTGGTACTAATAGCAACATCCTTTTTTTTTTTGAGATAGAGCCTCAAGCTGTCGCCCTGAGTAGAGTGCTGTGGCACCACTGCTCACAGGAACCTCCAACTAACTCCTAGGCTTAAGTGATTCTCCTGCCTCCGTCTCCCAAGTAGCTGAGACTATAGGCACCTACCTGCCACAATACCTGGCTATTTTTTGGTTGCAGCCATTATCATTGTTGTTTGGCGGGCCTGGGCTGGACTCAAAACCATCAGCTCACTGGTGTCTTAGCCACTTGAGCCACAGGCACCAAGCTGCAACATCCTTTTCATTTTTTTGCTAAGTTATTGTTGTTTACCTATAAAGTATTAGGTACTGATTTAAAGCAGAGGGACTCTAATGTATAAATCAAAATTTAGAGGGATTATTAGTATAGGCTCTAATTAACCTCCACATCTATTTTAGAATATAGTGTTTAATTTTGAAAGGATAGTCACTGCTGTACATTCAAGCAACCATAAATAGAACTTGCCCTTTTGCGAGGATTTATTTTCTGTCTGGTTTTATTAACTATAGTCTTTTTTTACTTCTGCATTGTGTCATTACAAATGAGAGGACTGAATATAGAAATGAGAGGGTGAATCTAGGTTGATGAGTGTACCTGTATATGGCTGTTCTATTCTTTTATTTGTAGATCGGAAAATTTTCAAAATATACATAAAAGCGTAAGTAAAAGGATTAGTCCTCCTTCTTCCCCTACTCCCAAAAGACTTTATCAGTATTTCTTCTATGTCTTGGTATATGCTACTGCCCGATTTAGAAGAAATAACTTTCTCCTCTTAGCATTTCCTCCCAGCCCACCCTGATCACTACTTAATATTTATTCCCTTCTGAAGTTATGTATTTAACATATGCTGTGAATAACCTCCCATTTGTCCTTGCTTGCATAAACCTTTAAAGACTTACCTCTGACTGCCAAAACCCCCAGAAGTTTTGGCAGGTATAGAAGGGTCTCTACCATAAGCCAGCCCCCTCCAGCCCTCTCCACTGACTCATGGCATCCACATTCTAGCCATACTAGCCTACTTGCTATTCCCATGGTATGCATTTACTTTTTGACTCCAGTTTTTTGTACATACTGTTTTCTACATCTGTGATGCTTTCCCCTCTCTGATCTATCACTAAAATATTCATCTATCACAGCGCTATTCAAATGCCACCTCTTTAAGAAGCACTTTCTGGTTCCTCTAGTCAGAATTATTCTGTCCTCTAATATATTCATAGCTCTTTTATATAAAACAGAATCTATAGAGAATCTTTTGTTTTTATTTATTTATTTTTTTGAGAGAGTCTCACTATGTCACCCTCAGTAGAGCCCTATGGAGTCATAGCTCATAGCAACCTCAAACTTTTGGGCTTAAGCAATTCTCTCTCTCTCTCTCTCTTTTTTTTTTTTTGCAGTTTTGGCCAGGGCTGGGTTTGAACCTGCCACCTCTGGCATATGGGGCCAGCACCCTACTCCTTTGAGCCATAGGTGCCACCCCTTAAGCAATTCTCTTGCCTTAGCCTGCCAAGTAGCTGGGACTACAGGTGCCTGCCATGACACCTGGCTACTTTTTTTTTTTTTGCTAGTTGTCACTGTTGTTTGGCAGACTTGGTCCGGGATCAAACCCACCAGCCCCAGTGTATGTGGCCAGTGCCCTAATCACTGAGCTACAGGTGCTGAGCTGGATTTTGGTTTTTAACATTAAACATTTGCATTAAATAAAATATAAAGCAAAGATTGGCTAAACATGGCTAACTCAGTTAAATATATCAGGTGGGCCACCAGAGGCAGAGCTACGTAACATTGTTCTGAGGATACCCCAGGGCCTCTCACCAGCCACCATTCCAAAGTAGCACAGAATTCAGATTACCAGGGAAGGGAATAGCTATTCTCAGTACTTTATAAATGTTTCCTGTGATTTGTGTAACACAGAATGTTACTTGAACAGAAAGTTTCCATGGTTCGAGAGAGAAAACTCGTATGTTAACAGGAAACAATGAATTCTTCATACTACTGTGTAAATACCTTCAGATCAAACTGTACTTTGTTTCTTTTTTTTAAGACAGAGTCTTACTATGTCCCCCTCAATAGAGTGCTATGGCACGACACAGCTTACAGCAACCTCAAACTCTTGGGCTTAAGCTATTCTATTGCTTCAGCCACCCAAGTAGCTGGGACTACAGGTGCCTGCTATAACACCCAGCTATTTTTTTGTTGTTAAGTTGTCATTGTTGTTTGGCAGGCCCATACTGGATTCAAACCCATCAACCCTGGTGTATATGGCTGGCGTCCTAGCCGCTGAGCTATGGGCGCTGAGCCAGGGTAAAGGGATTTTTAAAGTCAGTTTTAAACGCCTAATTTCCAAATTTTTATTTTGCCTTATTTGGTTTTATACAGTTTTGGTTATTATTATTATTTTGGCACTGAATGGCAATATAGAAGAGTAATGGAATGGACAGATTTTTCAGCTGGAATATTTAGGTTCAATTCTGGCTCCATCACATCCTATTTATATGACTTTAGGTAAATTACCAAGCCTATCTGTGCCTTTCTTTTACATTCTAAAGATAAGAGATCATGGTAACATACCTTTCTCATAGGATTAGGGTCAGGGTTATGTCCATTACACATGTAAAGCACCTAGGAGAGTGTTAGTATGTAGTAACTTCTATTAAATATTAACTATCTTTAGTATTTTTATAAATAATTCACTCTTCGCTTGCAAAACATTGGGTATGAATCAACCCAACGTCCACATGTGTGAATGTCAAGTGAACTATTATAATTTTCTCTACATATAGAGATATAGTGAAGACTTGGTATTAGTGGGTGAGAGGTATCCATGCTCAGGTTTCAGAAGATCCCAAAGTTGTTGAAATGTACAAAAATGCATGTATTAAGTGTACACATACATTTTTCTTGGGAGGGATTGGTAGCTTTCAACAGAGTCTTGAAAGGATCTGTGACCCTCAAGGATCAAGAACTACTGCTCAACAGTCCCTTTTTAGAAGCTATATGCATATTACATGAGTGTACAGAGAACAAACTTGAATAGTTTTCCTAACCAAATGTCATTTCCAAATATGCCCTTTCTGTGTATCTTGATTGCCTCACTATCCTTACATTTCATTTACATTAAATGCCCTTTGTGGTAAAAACATTTGGACAGCTGCACTTAAGTCAGAATCCTATTAAGCTCCTGCTTCTTAGTTCTAGTTTTGACCTGTAACTTCCACTTTGGATTCCCATCAGCATATTAGAATAGATTCATTTTCTCATGGATATGGATTTAAAAAATGAATATTTTGTTCCTATGAATAATGGAAACATAGCATTCTTCTGAATACTTCTTTCTACTTGGTCCCAAGTGTGCTAACCCTGGAATAGTTCTATGTCTAATTGATTAGAATCCTGGAAAAACAATTCCAGAAGAGGTCAAGTCACAGACCTTTAGAAGAAGTATAAATAAAAATCTCCACAAATTCAAAAAAGGTTTTAATTCCATTGTAATGCAGAGAAGTGCATTTCTTTTTTTGTCATACCTTTGCCCCTTCTTTAGACAGGTGGGAAATCATTTACCTTTTGCTCCTTAGTAATGTTATTTCCTTCTGCCAATGATTTCAAGTGATACTTACCCCGGTTATAGTACAAAAAAGTAACCTTATAACTTTTGTTTAGTTCTAGTTAAGCTTACTATAATCTGAAACAGGACCCAGTTCTACATGGCCAGTACCAAATCAACCTACAACAAGCAGCCTGCAATGCTGCGCCCGCCCGCACGTTTACCTGTGAAGCGGTCAGGTTGGGAGAGGGTACAGCCGACTGCTGGGTGTGGTGGTGGTGGTACTGCTGCTGCTGTTGTAGCTGCTGTAGTGGTTGCTGCTGTGCTGTTTGTAGTTTGTTTTCAGATTGTGGCAATGGCTGTATTTGGAACTTGTCTGGTTGTTCTTGCTTTACTATCAGGTTCTTCCGTAGCTGTTCAACTACCCTTTTCTGTCAAATGAAGATAAAAAGAAGCAAAATCTATTAGAATACTGTTTTATCAGCTGCACAGAAATATGCAGCTATTATATACATCTGACATCTTTCTTATAGCTAGCTTCATCTAAAAGTTGTTACATTCAAAATTTTTACAGATTCTACATATGAGGAGTTCAAAGCACTTAGTAGACATTACTCTTTTTTTTTTTTTTTGCAGTTTTTGGCCGGGGCTGGGTTTGAACCCGGCCACCTCCAGTATAGGGGGCTGGCGCCCTACTCCTTTGAGCCACAGGCACTACCCCCAGTAGACATTACTCTTAATATGAAACTGATGGTGTAAAGAACATTTTATACATAAAGAGCAGCTGAGGCACACAGATGGAAAAGACATGAAGGAGGTCCCCTAGCAGAGTTCAGGTATCTTGACTATGACCAGCTTAGTGTGCCAGGCTGGAAGGGCAGGACAGTACAGCAGTGGAGAGCAGGACTCCGGTGCCCTCCTGCTTCAACCCACACTGCACGTGCACATCATTTTGCAACTCACACTGCATGTTCAATTCATAGCTGTATGTCGGGCAATTTTCTAAACATACCTGTGCCTTTTTGTCCTGCTCTATAAAATTAGAGGGTGATTAACAACACCCTTAGGGTTCTTATGAGCACCAAAAAAGCTAATACGCATATGTAAAGTACACAGAACAGTGACTGGCATATACAATGTTGGTCACCATCACATCATCATCATTATATTTTTTTTTGCAGTTTTTGGCTGGGGCTGGGTTTGAACCCACAACTTCTGGTATATGGGCCCAGCACTCTACTCCTTGAGCCACAGGCACCACCCCGTCATTATTTTTTTGACAGACAGGGTCTCACTATGTTGCCCAGGCTTGAGTGCAGTGGCTTCTCACAATACAATCACAGTGCACTGAACTCTTGGCCAAGTGATCTCCCCACCTCAGCCTTCTCAGTAGCTGGGATCACAGGAGTACATTACTGCGCCCAGCTTACTATTTTTTGCATCTCATAACACAGACACCAACCATACTAACTATTATTAAGCAAACAAATGTCATGTATCTATTCCAGTTTAAAACATGAAACAGGATTTTTAAACAAAACGGATCCTAGCAATATGCAACATAAACATTATTACTGAAATACAACTTACAAGCAGAACTTCTTTGCTAGAGTAAGATCTGTGGAAATGCACACTTTTATACTGGAAGAGTAGAAACTGAGTTCATATGGGATTAAAAACTAAAGTCAAGGTTTCTTGAACTTTCTGAACCTTGTTGAAATCTAAGAGAAATATGTTTTGGATACCTTCATTAGTATAATACATTTCAACCGAATGGGCAGGGACTTATTCTGTTGCACTCATTCTAAATGCATATCTAGTATGCATTTAGAATTATGCTGCTGAGTAAACACCTTTGTTCTCTTTACATGATACAAAGTGACAAAACCAAAACCAGCAAATGGCTCAGAGAATATTTATAGTAACTATCTGGGGTCAAGACTCTGGCTTTTTTTTTGAGACAGAGTCTCAAACTGTCACCCTGGGTAGAGTGCTCTGGCATCATAACTCACAGTAACCTCCAACTCTTGGGCTCAATGAATCCTCTTGTCTCAGTTTTTCAATTCTTTTTTTTTTTTTTTTTTAGTATAGACAGGGGTCTCGCTTTTTGCTCAGGCTGGTCTCGAACTTGTGAGTGCAAGCAATCTACCGGCCTCGGCCTCCCAAAATGCTAGGATTATAGGTGTGAGCCACTGTCCGGCCTTGAAACAGGAGTGCAATGGCCTCATTTCGCTCCACACCAGACTGGAGTACCATGGCCTCAGCCTAGCTCACAGCAAACTCAAACCCCTGGGTTCAAATAATCCTCCTGCCTCAGCCTTCTGAATAGCCTCCCCCTTAGCACCTAGTTAATTTTTTTCTATTTTTAGTAGAGATGGGAATCTCACTCTTGTTCAGGCAATTCTCAAACTCCTTAGCTTAAGGGATCCCAAGAGCACTAGGATCATAGGCATGAGCCAAATTAAGAGATTTAAATAAAGGATTAAAAAAAACCAGGCCCAGCACTCCTTGACTCCTTGAGCTCAGAAGTTCAAGATGAGCCTGAGCAAGAATGAGACCCTATCTCTACCAAAAACAGAAAAACTGAGGCAAGAGGATGTCTTGAGCCCAAGAGTTTGAGGTTGCTATGAACTATGATGATGCCATGGCACTCTACCTAGGGTGACAGAGTAAGAAGGAAGGAGGGAGGAGGGGGAGGAAGGGGAAAAGGGAGGAAAGAAAGGAGAGAGGGAGGAAGGAAGGGAAGGAGGGAGGAAGGAAACAAACCATAAGGTCAGGTTAATTTTCAAATTTCTACTTATAGCTCTAACCAACTTCATTCCCAGATTCTCTAAAGAATCTAAACCTGGGCTGGGCCCGGTGGCTTACACCTGTAATCCTAGCACTCTGGGAGGCTGAGGCAGGTGGATTGCTTGAGCTCACAAGTTTGAGAATAGCCTGAGTAAAAGCGAGACCCCGTCTCTACTAAAAATAGAAAAAATGAGGCAAGAGGATCACTTGAGCCTGAGCTGGAGGTTGCTGTGAGCTATGATGCCATGGCACTCTACCCAGGGTGACAGCTTGAGACTCTGTCTCAAAAAAGAAAAACAAAGGGGCAGCACCGTAGCTCAGTGGGTGGGGCGTGGGCCACATACACCGAGGCTGGAAGGTTCAAATCCAGCCCGGGCCAGCTAAAACAACAATGAAAACTGCAACAACGACAACAAAATAGCTGGGTGTTATGGCAGGCCTTTAGTACCAGCTACTTGGGAAGCTGAGGAAAGAGAATTGTTTAAGCTCAAGAGTTGGAAGTTGCTGTGAGCTGTGATGCCACAGCACTCTACCAAGGGTGATGGCTTAAGACTCTGTCTCAAAAAAAAAAAAAAAAAAAAAAGAAGCTAAACCTGAAGGCTACTCACATTTAACATAGTTGAACATTAAAATATTTACAAAATGAATTTTAAAAACTTTAAGTAAATATAAAATACATTATTGAGAATTTTTTTCTATTTTTATTACTGATCTTTTTTAAATAACTAAAATATCATATAAAGGCCAATCTGGGTGGGGGAAGATCCTGCTATATGATATACTCTGCTCACAATGCCTGAGTAAATACTTTTTAAAAGAATGCAAAGTCTCAAGTATTTGTAGAAACCATCTGCAGAATAACAAAAATGCAATTAATAACATATCAAATGCATATAACATCAACTTTCAAGCCTTCAAAAATTCTATTTCTCAAGTATAAAAGGCAGAATAATTGAACCATTGTAGCTTAACAGAAGAGGAAGTAATAGCAGAGTTACTGCAGGTAATTCTGAATATCTCCTGTAGATTTTATTGCTTGAACAGTTTAAACATTTAAAAATTAAATAATTATTTAGAGGCTGGGCGGGCGCAGTGGTTCACACCTTTAATCCTAGCATTCTGGGAGACTGAGGCGTGAGGACTGGTTGAGCTTGAGAGTTCAAGACTAGCCCCAACAATAGTGAGACACTGTCCCTACTAAAAATAGAAAAAAATTAGCCAGTGGTGAAGGGTGCCTGTAGTCCCAACTACTAAGGAGGCTAATGCAGGAGGACTGCTTGAACCCAGGAATTTGAGGTTACTGTGAACCACTGTACTCTAGCCTGGGCAACGGAGTGAGATGCTATCTCAAAAAAAAAAAAAATATTTAGAGTTGTTTTCAGTCCTTTTTCACATCAGATATCAAACACATTAATGAGCTAGCTAAAGTATAGCAACAGCAGCCAGAGAAAGGGACTCTAGGAACTCTTTTTTTTTTTTTATCTTTTGAGACGGAGCCTCAAGCTATCCCCCTGGGTAGAGTGCCATGGCATCACGCTCACAGCAACCTCCAACTCCTGGGCTCAAGCGAGTCTCCTGCCT